GGTATAAACGGACGGATAGTTCGGAGCGGGTCAGTTTCGCTCTGCTCAAAGGAACGGTTTACAGTCGTATCGTCATCGGCGTCGTTATCTGTACTTCCAAGTTCAGTTACATTTTCAAAAGAAGCAAATGCTTTAAGTTTCTCGGACGATAGCATCCCACCAAAGTTGTCATGTGGTTTCAAGTGTGGCAGTCGCAGGGCACTGGGGCTTATCGCGGAGGAGAAATCGTCATCCCAGTTATCATCGGCATCTCCGTTTGGTGACCGAAATCTTTCAGCAGCGTCTTTGTTGATGTTGATATTTCCTCCCGGACCTGAAAGTGATTCTCTGGAAGGTATGACGAGCAGAGGCGCAAGTTCCTTCTGTCCTGGCATCGGACTAGCGTGTCCTGGACGTAAAGGTTTCCGAGCGGAGTTGGAATTCGGAGATCGCAGGGCTTCGTTCCATTCCTGCACACTCTTGACAGCTACTTCATACTCTGTGGATTTCGTCGGGACGACAGAATCAGACCTTCGCACGTTGACTATCCAAGGGTGCTTTAAAAGTTTCCGGGCAGACACTCGTAGGTTCGGGTCCTTTTGGAAACATTGCATGAGAAAATCCCGCACAGCCTGTTAACTACTAATCAGCCTCCAAAACCCACAAAAAGATAGCTCTAGAGGGAATCAGAGGAAAGCTGACAGGCGATGCTCCTTGGGGTAAAGGAGGATGGTCATCATTAACAATACGAAATAAGGCCTGCATGGGCTGGAATTTGTAATAGGGAGGCTTCCCCTCGAGCAGCTCGATGACAGTACAACCCAGGCTCCAGATGTCAGAAGCAGTCGTGGCGCCAGACAGTTCAATCACCTCAGGAGCCATCCAGTACGGCGTCCCAACGACGCTGGACTCGTGAAGGCCCGTCGTACGACTAGCAACACCAAAATCAGCCAGCTTAACCAAGCCCTGTTTAGTAGTGAGTATGTTTGCTCCTTTGATATCCCGGTGTATAACACCTTGCTCATGGAGGTATAGAAGGCCATGGAGCACTTGAGACATGTAAAGACCGACGAGGTTCTCGGGGAATCGGCCGAAGTTTTTCGAGATTGAGTGCAAAGAGCCATTTTCGCAATATCTAAGCAAGCAGACAGGGTCAGGAACCCAATTTCCGACCAAAATGCTAAGGAGCTGGAAGCACGTCCAACGTACTCGAGAATAATATTTAGAGTCTCAGCAGACTTCACAAAGCCATGGTACTTGACAATGTTTGGATGCTGCAATTTCGCCGTGATCTTGTTAACTTCCGTTCCTTGAAAATGCAAATGAAATAACCATGGTTGAGATTGTTAACTTACGTCAAGATTCTTCAATAAATCGATTTCTTGCTATTAAAAGAAACAAACACAGAACCCATACCACAAAGTTAGAACAGGGACAATCCACGTAAAATCCAAAGAGTTGAATTTTGTTTTGCGCGCAAATATATGGAGGTGTGTGGAAGGGGTGTATTATCCCTAACCATAATAACTCGAAGCTCACTCTTCGGAAGATCCGCAAGCTTGATCTGCTTAACGGCCACCGTCTCACCAGTACCCCAATTCAAAGCTCTGTATACCGATCCAAACGCGCCCTTGCCCAGACAATCGCCCAATTGCTGTTGGAAATGATAGAAAAATCATATGTCATTAGCCTGACATGTAACCATTGTAAATTTACGATGAAACACGCGCAGCGTCGCGTATTTTCAATAGGCCACATAGAAAGGAGTAGAAAGGAAGATAGAAAGATAGAAAGAAACATACAAAGTCTGTAAGCTCCGCAACGTCCTTCGCAGTCGACTTGGAACCCTTGTCCCGTTTAGATGGGCTTGTGGCCGTTGCTGATGTTGCTGGTGTTGTTGGTGTGGGTGTTGCTGCGGCCCTTGCTGCCCGTGCCTTCGAAGACGTAGAAGAGGTATCCTGAGGTCGAGATGACGGGAGAGACGGAGGGTGAACATCCCCGAAGTAATCATCGGCTCGTGACACCATCTTGGAAGAATAGCGTATGTGAGGAGATGGAGAAATGGGAGGTGGGGTAGGAAATTCGAGACCAGGTCAAAGGAGAGTGAGCTAGATCATTGGGCGTCATGTCAGACAAAACAACGCAGGTCAACGATGTCCTTCTGTGTATTTTTTTTCTCAGTCGAGGGGGATACTACGCCCACAGAGGATGACAGGAGTGGCGTATTTTTTCAAAGATATACAAGATAGGGCAGCAGTCGTGGTTGTAGGAGGGGGTGAATGTGGTGTGTAGCGGAGGGAAGCAAGAGGATTCGCAGCCTATCAGGTGGAAACTGGAGATGTAAAACTGGGGAAGAAAACAAGCTATCCAGTCAAGCTTCTAAACATTGGTCAACTCATTTGTTGAACTGTTAATTAGTAAAAGTGCAGGAATTTGCGCACGCACGCTTGGAAGTAAACAAAAGTTGTAATTTGAGTTTCCCGCACCGTGAGATTTCAGAGTTCATATGATGGGGGGTTAAATTGCTGTGCCGCCGTTAGACTCTCGCGGTGTGTTGCGATCGGTAGATATGGCTGCCCGCAAAAAATAATTGCTAAGGGCAGGGATGACGCAGTGATGAATGATCAGCCCTATTTATTATCATGAAGATAGGGAACAATAAAAAAAAAATAAAAATGCATACAGACACTGTACAGTACATATGTACATTCAGATGAACAATGTCTTTGCAAAGCATTTTGGATTGTTTATATCTTAACCTGATCAAGTATTAAAATTTCAATATAAGTTAACAATTAACTAAATAACAAATTTACAGAGACTTTTTCTGACATTTCATTTCTTGTAACATTTCCCTACATCCTGCTAAAATACGTTCTAAATAACGGTGAAATAAATGCCCGGGTGCATCACGACGATTTCAGTATATCTACATCTGAATTCGCTCCACGAAGCAGTCGCAGAACGTCAGATACCAAATATAAGCTGCCGGCAATCACCAACGGGCCCCCGCCTGAGATTTCATCAGCCCATTTCAGCCCAGATAATACATCCCTACTAAAACCTTCAAACCTAGCGATGTCGGGCATGAAGGTCTTTACAACAGAGAGGAGCTCGGCTGCCTGCACGCTTCTCACCCATGGCATCCCATCCACAGGCCCAAACTCAACAACAGCAACATTGTCACCAGGTTTAACAATGCAGCTGAATAATTCCTTGATGTCTTTACCCTGGGATGCGGAAATTACCCAGGTGATAGTAGCATGCTCAGGGGTTTGTTTTCGAAGATTGCGGTCTACATATGCACAGAGTACCGTGGCGGATTGTGGATTGTGCGCCCCGTCGAGTAGGACTGGTTGCTTACGTGGAATCAAAGGGTTGAGAGAGATTTCTTGTAGTCGACCGGGCCGAGGTGTCTTGGAGATATACGGGAATAGACTTGGTAGGGTCGAGTTGGGTTTGAGTTGCGGTAGCGCTTGCTGTAGACCTGTCAGCGCGCATGAGATATTGGCTAACTGGTGGGGTTCGAGATGGAGATGCTGGAATATTCCCACAAGTTCTGGGAATGTTTGTTGAATGATGTCTGGACGAGCAAATGTTATCGGGGTACGTGCCTTGTCCGCAGCTGCCCGGAGGACCTGTTGAACCAGCGGCTCGTTTGTCCCGTCAACGACACAGGGGATTCCCGTCTTCATTATGCCGGCTTTCTCTCGCGTGATCATCTCAATGGTATCTCCCAGGATAGCCTGGTGATCATAGCCAATTTTCGCAATGACAGAAACGAGAACATTGCTTAATACATTCGTCGCATCCAGCCTGCCTCCCATGCCAACCTCGATAATGCCCACCTCGACATTTTGATTGGTAAAAATTTCAAACGCGGTAGCTGTCAGCAACTCGAACTCCGACGCGTTAACGCCTAGCGTCTGGCTGCGGAGTTTGACCTCGTTCTCTACACGGCGAAAGAAGGATTCCTGGATCACCCGCTCGTTGATGGCGATGCAGTCCCATCTGTCGATAAGGTGCGGGGAGGTGAAGGAGCCGCAGCGCACACCGGCTGCGGCGAGCAAGGCCGAGAGGTACGCTGTAATGGAGCCTTTGCCGTTTGTGCCAGCGACGTGGATAGCTCTCCAAGGCAGATGCGAGTGCTGGACCAATCGCGAAATACGGGATAGGCCGAGTTCAATCATTCTCCCAAGGTTCTTTTCTGGATCCCGGTTGGCTTTTTATCAAATGAAGAAGACAGCTACCTTGTATTCGGAGCCGAGAGAGTTCATTCGCATGACCTCCATCCGATGGATGCCTTCTCGCACATTCACACCCTTGGAGTTTCTACATGTATTAGTACTATTAAAATACTATAACTTATTTTAGTCATGCCATTGTCACAGATGTAGGTTGTTCTGTCTCCAATTCTGTGTGTGTATGGTCAGCTTTCGATATTCCCTCCTTTCTGCCCAGGCGGTTCAGCTTCTTTTCTCCGCCAATCACCGCCTGATTCTCTCTGCTGCCGCTGAGCCGTGTCACCACGTGACTACCATTTCAGCCTGCGCCAAGCCCTACCTCTGGCAATGTTAGTCAGCCACTCAGCGCGCTGCTTTCGGATTTTCCTTTCTTCCAGATTCAAACAAACGGGTTGAAACAGGAGAGCAATATACAACCAATACGTGTAATTTACCGTCCGTTACCTGTCAACACAAGCGTCAATTACTCAAATCCATGGAGCGAATACCGTTCCCGTACCGCAAACCTTCATCCAACTCTCCACCCTTCGTCATCCCGTGACTCCGGCCAGTTCTGCCCTTCCCCGCCACTTTCCAAGAACGGAAATCGGCGCTTTTCCGTTGACCTTCGCTGCGCCCAACTTGCAAAACTTCATCTCCGCCCATCCTCTTCAGCAACCCCAATCTCCCATCCACGCCCCGATTTTAATTATCTTCTCGGTATATTCTGGGTCGCGGATTGATTGTAATTTCCTTGCCTCACTTCTTATCTCTCGTTTCGTCTGTTGTTGCGCGAAAATGGGAATCCCGTAAGTACACGCCTGCATTTTTTTTGTTGTAGGTCAAGTTGGTTGCCAGCCTACTCGTGACTTTTTTCATGTTGCTTGTTCCTCTGTGGCACCAAACAAAACTACCATGTTAACCCTTGATCATTAATAAAAGCCCTTCTTATCAGTCAAAATAGTACTAACATACCGTTGATGTTCTGTTTTATTAGACTCATATGGACACCACCTGCACAATCTGGTGCAAGTAATAACCGCAGAAACAACGCGAAATCTCACCCCTTAGCCCCATCGCGCTCCACTATCCGGCGCCAACGACCCTTCCGCCGCTTTCAAAGAGGCAATAATGATACAAATAGTGACAATGGTTCAAGTCGAAACCATGGCTACGTGCCTTATTACCGGTCCTCAATGCCCCAATGGGTAGAGACCCTCAGTCGCGAAATCCTTGGCGACTCTACCACCGGCGAACAAGGAAGTGTCCGCAACCCTTCCTCCCAGGATAATGAGTCTCGATTGGACTGGCCTTCCTCTGCTGTATCGTCTTCCTCCTCCACTTTAGCGAGACGTGAAATTGGCCAGCAGTTGGCCAGAGATGTCGTGCGCTATGAAGCGCCAGGTCTCCGCATGAGGATCCCCCGCGAGTCATCATTGAACTCCGACACGCTGTATACCCCCTTGTGGCCTCCAAGGAATGGGCCCTCCCGCCAATCAGCATCGAATGGCAATGCGACTAGCTCCCGGCCGGCGGTGTCTCCCCCGGACTTGGCTCCCTACAGCCCTAGGTTTGCACCGGCATTCCCACCAAGTAACAACAACAGTAATGAGCTCACAGCTCCTGCCAGTTACACCTCGTCCACCACCACACTCCGGTCCAATAATAGCGACCCATACATGCCATTATTAAGGAGAGTTGGCCACCGCTCCATC